TGGCTGACTCTGAGAAGAATGGGAATCCCAGAACACTTGATCATTCTAATGTGAAACTTATACTTGGATCAGGAGGCAGTCGTCAGAACAGAGCAAGGGAACACTGCATGGTTCAAAATTTGGAAGGGCGTACGCCAGGGATTCATCCTATCTTCATACCTTTCCAACCTATATGCCTCTTCATATATTCCTTTTAAACAGTTCTTTCCCTCATTTGTTCCAGTGCAATGTTTATATTATCTATCCACTCTTATCCTAGTCTCTTCCTAATCCCCATGTCTGTCCTGCTTTTTAACAGTGGTATTATGTAGTATTTGACCTTCTGTGACAAAGATATTTTACGAAGCATATTGTCTTCCAGAGTCACTCAGGTTGTTAACATTTTATGAGATCATTGTTTTTCAGTGCTGCATAGTATTCCATTGTGTGAATATACCATAGTGTTTTTATCCATTCATTTGCTGATGGGAACTTGGGTTGCTTCTGCCTCTTTGCTATTGTGAATAACACAGCAATAAACATGAGTGTGCATACCTCTGTTTGAGTGGCGGTTCTGGTTTCTTTAGGGTATATTCCCAGTAGTGGAATTGCTAGGTAAAATGATATTTCTATTTCCAACTTTTCAAGAAAGTGCCAGATCTTCTTCTTTAGTGGTTACACCATTTTACAATCCTACCAGCAGTAAGTAAGGGTTCTAGTCTCTCCACAGCCTTGCCAGAATTGTTTGATGCTCTTTTGAACTGGGATGAGGTGATATCTCAGTTGTTGTGTATTTATTTTTTTTATGGTAAAAACTGAGAATCACATTAGATACATGTTGTTGTTGGGCATTGTGGATTGACTCCAGCTTCTAATGATCCTTTCTTTGTACAGTATCCTGTGCTCAATCCTTCACCCTCATCATGCTCTCCATTGTTCTTAAGCCCATTGTTGAAAGATTGTGTCAGTTGATCTCATTGAGGGACTTCCTCTCCTTTGCTGACCCTATATTTTTCCAAGCATGTTATCTTTTTCCAAAGATTATCCCTTCCTGAGACAAAGCATCATCATTAGTTGCCTCTAAAGAAAAGTGGCTGTTTTTTTAAAATTCTTTTTTTTCTTTGATTTTTATTATTAATTTTATTGACATTTTACCAAGACTTTAGATTTCCATTCATTCATTGTTGCACTTTTCTCCCTGCCCACCCCTCCCTCACAGTTCACTCTTTTCTTTGAAAAGTAAAATTTTTTCATTGTTATACAATCCCTTCCCCCAAGTCCACTCCACTATGCAGCCTTTATTCTTTCTTCCTGTCAAGACAATAATACCTAAACAGTTCTCCCCCTTATCTGTTTCAATGCAGTATGTATCATTTATCCCATCTTTCTCAGTCTCCTCCCAACCCCGATGTCAGACCTATTTTACAACAGTGGCACTGTCCTTTTGTGACTGAGATATTTCACTCAGCATAAGGTCTTCTAGGGTCACCCATTTTGTATATTATTTCATGAGTTCCTTGTTTTTCAGTGCAGCATAGTATTTCATTGTGTGAATATACCACAGCTTCCCTATCCATTCATTTGTTGATGGGAACTTGGGTTGTTTCCAACTCTTTGCTATTGTGAACAAAGCCATGATAAACATGGGTGTACATATAAATCTGCTTTGGTGGTGGTTACGGTTTCTTTAGGGTATATTCCAAGTAATGGAATTGCTGAGTTAAATGGTATTTCTGTTTGCACCTTTTTGAGAGAGCACCATACTGCCTTCTATAGTGGTTGTACCATTTTACACTCCCACCAACAGTGAATAAGGGTTTCAGTTTCTCGACAACCTCACCAGTATTTGTTGTTTGCTGTTCGTTAAATTTTGCTATTCTGACTGGGGTGAGATGATACCTCACAGTTTTTATTTGCATTTCTCTTAGAGCTAGGGATTTTGAACA